TATTTAAGTTTATTATATATAGGTAAGTTTTTGAAACAAATAAATTTTAGGGCGAGGAATGGAAAATTTTAAGGAGGCATGATTTTCTTGAGGTGGAGGCAATTGAAAATTTTAGGGGATCTAATTGAAAATTTTTTAGGGTATAATTTTTAATTTTCCCTTATTTCGCCCTCTATGATGCATGTAGGTTAGCACTTTTTTATTAAAAATTTAACTTTAATCATTAGTTTGACTTAAAATTATAGAAAATAAGCTTAAAAATTAGAGAAAATGATCCAGAAATTACAAATATGTACTTTATAGGAAAATTAATACCAATTAAGTCTTCTAAAATACATATAAATACTAGAATACAAATGTTATTTCTTACTCATATAAAAGATCAAAATATAATTTTAACTAACCAATTTAACTAGCTACTAGGTAATTACAATATCACAATTGCTAGCAATAACACCAATATATAATTAAAAATATTATATTTTTCTTACAAATCTTCACATACAATTTACAAGTTAACTTTTGAGATTTACACAATCTTTTGAAATTTTACAACATAACTAGCAAATCTATTATTTATAAATGAAAACGTTTTTTTTGCACTAATTGTAAGGTTTTGAAGGAGAATTATAAATTTTGCAGGAAGATTTATAAAATTATCACACTATTATAGAGATTTAATTGATACTAATTTTCTTATAGGTAATATTTGAAATTTTTTAATCATTTTTTATAATTTTTTAATCTTTTTTTATAATTTTTTGGGTTAACTAACAGTTAAAATTAACTTTTTAACTGTAGAGGTCCTAGTGCACTAATATCAAATGTTGAAAGGGAAAATTGCATCATACATAAATTTAGGATATTAAATGTTCTTGAGCAAATATTTAAAGTGCAAAAATGCATTTTAGCCCATTATCTAATAATCAAAACTATTTGATCAAATTTGAGTGTTATTGAAATCAATGAGCTCTTCTAATGTGATTTTTCGTTCACAAGATTCAAACCATGTTGATAAAGGATGGATCTCCTATTTTGGGCTTATCTCACTAAACTGTACAGCAAAGTGGCAAAAGTTTTGCAGGCATATAGGCATATATATCTCTAAATATATATATATATATATATGTGCGCGCGCGCGCATGCAAGCAAAATATAAAAATAAAGTCTATTTAGCCCATTATACAAGTCACTATAGATTTTTCAATATAACTATTGTCTCAGCATTAGCATTGCGCATGCTAGCTAGTGCAAGCATTGGCTTCTTTTAAAAAAACATGAACGTGTTAATGGAATAAAATTCAACATATGAGACTACACATGTAAAGATTAAAAAATATATGGCCATTATTATAATTTAGGTTAAATAAAGTGATCTATTTGAAAATGTTCTAAGACGTGGGGGATGTAAGTCATGTAATTAATGTATAAAGACTAAAGTGAAAGATATTTATAATTTATTGATGAGCCAAATTACAAATATCCTAAACTTAAATCAAAGTTTTTGATGAAAAACTGGTTGGGTTTACAATTTATTATAAAATCCTATGAAAAACTGGTTGTTTGGCCCCCTTCTAGAAAATCATGCATGAGAAAGTTTTTGATGTTTACAATTTAGAAAATCACAGTACCAATCCATCAGCCCATAAAATCCTATGATATTTCTCATTATGAATTCAAGTATGCTTTTGCATTCGTCTTTAGTATTCCTCTAAATTAATGAGTTTTTATTCAGGTATATGGGTTTGTTCGCAATCATTTCAATAATTTGAGTAGGAACTAGATTAATTAAGAACAAGCAATTTCAACATGTACTTCCTCCATCCTAAATTGTAAGATATGTTTAGGAAAGATTTAACATTTTAAAATATAATACTTTAATAAAAATAAAGTTTTATTAACGATACTTTTTTAATATTATTTTTCTCATATATTCTCTTTTTTTAATATTCTTTCATCAATGGAGTATTAAATAAAGGATATTTTTAAAAGTTTATATTTTTGTTTTGAAAAAGTAAGATAATAAAGTATATTTAATGAGTTTTATTAGTATATAAAATTTTGATTAAAAAGATCTTATAATTTGAGATGGAGAGAGTATCTTATTTCCCAATTTCCTAGGCACGCTGAATAAGTCTATACACAAGTCTTGAATGCAAATATAATTATACATATTTGAAACAAAAAGGAGCTATATATGCAAGTGGGAATAATAGGTTGCATGCCCTAATTATATGAATTATCAAAAGAGGTTCAGTTGTCCATTTGAAGACATTCAAGCTTTGGCCCACTAATAATAATAATAATAATTTAAAATTCAAGAGCAAGACAGGTCGCCATTCTACTTCTTAAACCCAGGCATAAAAGTTACAATTCTTGTGGCTTTAATTTGTAGCATTTATTATATAACATGGTAAAGTTTTTGCAATCTAATAATTCAATTTTAGCTTCAATTTTTTGAATTTAATAATATACTCCATCAAATCAAAAATGTAAAGTATTTTTTAATAAATTGAATGTTAAAAAATATAAGATATTTTTAATGTTTCAAGATATAATTAAAATATTTTTGTCAAAAAAAATGCCCATAATAAATAAACCACTATATATTTATTTTAAAATAAAATACTTTATTAAATAGGAGTAAATATAAAAAATGATATTAGTTTGAAGATAATTAATTTCTTTTATTAATGGTAAAATTTGGTTAAAAATGTTTTATATTTTTTAATAGAGAGAAGAATGAAGTTTAAGATGCACATAGGATAGAAACCAAACCTTTATATTATATTAACACAACTACATTGCAGAAAACATATATAGCATACAAGATAAATTGTCTACAATAATAAGACTATTGTTATGTCAAGAATTTAATTGTTATTAATTTAATTTTTTTAAGAATTTAACTGTTATTCATACTTTATTTGGGCCAACTTTGAAATTCATCTTCCCTATGCATAAAAAAAAAATCCTCACAATATGAAAATCTGTGCTAAAATTGAAGTTTGTTTTAATATTTCCCCTCCTAATTCTACTTTAAGTGTCTATCACTTGTCATATATTATAAAGATAAGTTTTTCTTTTTTAAAAGGACTTATCTGCATAATAATCTAATCTTGGGTCATATTCAAAGAAGATCAAATATCTTTGTCTGAATATGTTTCATATAAAATACCTAATATTACACTTAGTTATTACACCCAACCGCCCACTTTTGGACTTGTCTTTCACGCCATTACATCTATGGAGGTCTTACCAGTCTAACACTAATAATAAACATTTATTTATATTAATTAGCATTGGAATGAGTTAGGCTTCCACCAAATTTACATCTAACAGTTCAAATTTTTCTTTTTGAAGATTTTATTATGTTTATTTGAAAAAGAGAAAATGAAAAACCAATTTCAACTCATGAATTTTAAATTTATGATGAGGTGGCCTAAGTCAAGTGTAGACAAAAAATGTATCATTAAATAGTGGGAGCAAACCAGTTTAAAATTTATTATATTACTTATGGTCGAATATATAGGATTCAATGGATTATAATAAAATTAAGATATTTTTATTTAATGTATAAAATTATATAAGATATTTAATATATAAATATATAAATATTTAATATATAAACATCTCATATATTTTTTTATGAATTCCTAGTCCATTTTTGTTACTTTTGATATCTAATTTTGAGAAAAATATGAAAAAAAAAATATTAGTGCCCTTCCAGCAATAAAATATTCATACTCCATTGAAATAATATTTGAATGATTAAAAGGTAAAGTTTGTGCATGAGGAACTGGGGGGCGGGGGCGGGGGAAGCTAACTTAAGATACTCTGATTTTTAAATGGAACAAATATGAAATATGTATGAGATTGTGGACCTTTTCAGAGTTTTTTTTTTTTTTGGGTTAAAGAATATTATATGAAGTCTAACGTAAAATTTAAGTCTACTGCACATCTTTAGCAGAAAATTCACTTCTACCTTTTAGAATCGGCCCATGTTAGAGTAATGTATAAGCAGTCAATTAACGTGCTTCTATGTACTTTCTGGGTTTAATTATTGTTATTTTTATTTGTAATTCATTCATTCTTTTTTGTTCACTTTGAATAATTTCATGTTCATCCATTCCAATTTAATGTCTTAAATTTTAGTTGACACTTGGCATCATGCTCATTTAAAAAAAAAATATTGTGTTTTGAAATGATTCTTACTTGCTTTTTTAGTATTCGTGAATATTTTTAATTAATGTAATTGAAAAAAAAATGCATATGACATAATCGATAAACAAGATATTTGTTAAGCTCTTAAAATAGACAAGTCAATCCGGCAAAAACCACAAATAAACGAGTAATTTTAATTTTGGCCAGAAATAATTAAGTTATTCTAAGGAAATGTGTAGAATTAGTCATCATATAAGACTATAACCTTACTGTTAATTTTTACAAGGGTTCATAAACTTTTTAAAATTTTTATGTGATATGTGAAAATTTACTTTGTTATATTTCTAAAGTAATATTGCTAATTTAGCAAAAAAGAAAGAAAGTAATAATACTAACTATTATTTTCTAAATAGTTGTGCTACCAAAACTAAACAACTTTTTTTTTTTTGGGTAGTATACTGGCATCCAAAAATGAGAATTATAACATGTAAATAATGCAGTTTATTATAAATTTAAAACTTTATTTTAGTGTTGATAATTATGAACTTTTTATGTTTTTGTTACTTATAAATTAAAAATTTTGATACGTAACTATTGATTATGATTTGGTTGATAAGAATTGACTGTAGATTTGATCTTATGTTTATTTTGTCGTTATCCTGTAATCATTAGCTATTATATTTGGTAGTATATAGTTGTCCTAAAAACAATTTATTGCAATAAAACCTTTATTTGAAACAAATATTTTTGTTGGTAAAAAAAAATTTTTAGTGAGAAAAACTGAAAAAGAAACATTAAAAAGCGAAAACAGAGGGGTCTCTCACTGCATATAAATTCTCTCATGACAAGCAAACTTTGGTGGACTCTGTCTCGCAACCCTCCCTCTGTTTTTCATTCTAAACCAATCCATATTTCATACAACACTTTCTCTCTAATAATCATTCTCAGTTTTTTCTTTTTTCAATCTTTCAATGAAAGAAGAAGCGTGGTGCGTCACCCGCTTAAAGCTGCGTACGGTGGTTTTCATGGCGGCGATCTCTCTGTTTTCTGTGTTCACAAAACAGAGCCTCTGTCTGTCTCTGAACAACCAAGGTACGGAAATTTAACTAAACTGCTTCTGAATCAGATTGAGTCGTAACGATTGAGCCGAGTTGAACCGTGGCTTATTTTTTCTGGGTATGGTTTTTGAGTTTGGGTTTGATTTGATTGGTGAAATAAACTTGCAGGTTTGGCGTTGCTTAGGTTCAGAGACAGAGTCATCAATGACCCATTTGGAGCTTTATCGAATTGGAAGGCTAATGATGGAGCCATTGATCCGTGTTCGTGGTTCGGAGTTGAGTGTTCGGAAGGCAAAATCGTTACCTTGTGAGTTTTCATAACTATGATTTGTCTTTTGAAGGACCAATATGCTCTGTTTCCCTCTGTTCTATTATCTTTTCCCTTTTTCTCACCCATTATTTCTATGTAGTTTTCTTGATCTCAATTATTACACTTAAAACAAAATTGATTGTGAGAATTAAAAGAAAATAATTCCTTCTATCTATTTATAAATCGTTTTAATATGTTTTAGTGTGGCTGGATTTCAATTGACAAAAAAAAATTATTATAGAAAAAATTGATTAGCAAAGGTAATGTTTAGATAATATTTTTTGAAATTAATTTTGATAATTAAAGATGTTTGAATAATTTTTTAAAATTGATTATAAAGATGAGAAAAAAGTAAAAAATGCTCAAATATTAAGAATTAATTTTCAAATAAAGAAAAAAATAACTTAAGGCAAATGAAGTTTGGAAAAATGAGGGGTATTTGAATAAGATTTTTCAAAATCATAGTTTTTAGGAATCAAAATTGATTCTACATGTATATCCAAATACACCCTATTAGATCCAAAAAAATATATTAAAATTCATTAACTAATCTAATAAGTTTTCAAATTTATTTTATAAAATATGCATGCTTTAATAATATATTTTCCCTTATCAATATTTAATAGAAGACAAATGAAAAAATTTAATGACGTGATTATTTCTTCATCTTATAAATGTGACTCGAAAATAAACTTAGAAAAATACTAGGACGAATTTTATCAGGAAATTTGGAAATTTCCCACATTTGAAAACTGTATTCAAATTTGTTTAAGAGAGGGAGACCTTTGACTTGGCTTCCAAGTTCTCTGGGGCTTGACCACGGACCCGGATTTGGTTCTGTGATGGTCTCTTGTGATTAAATATGTGATTTGGACGGTGTAGTATTATTTTATTTTATTTGTTGTTAAAAGAATTAAATTATGCAATTGGTTTTAAACAAGTTGCTGGTGATAATTATAATGTCCGTATTATGTTGTATACAATACTTTGATATTAAAAAATATTAATTTTAATTTAACAATAATAAAATCTAAATAATCTAAATTAAATTTAGACAACTGAAATAAAATTCGGAGAGTAATACATTGCCTGAAAGAATGGTAAAATATTTGTAATGTACATATTGGTAATATAGGCATAATTCACCTCAATTATGGTCATCATTTAAGAATACACATCAAGTACTAATATATTGCCTTAAAAAATGGGTCATCATTTGGACTTTCACATTTCTCACGTAAGATGATATTTGGCTCTATTCTTATGTCAAGGACTTGCTAACTACTTTTATATAGATAGGAGATACTGCCTAAAATTAGTTAAGTATAAAAAAATTTAGGTAAAAAAAAGTTAAGTATAAAAAAATTAGAATTAAAATGTAATATGGCTCTTAAATTATAGGTTTATGAGTGTTGAGGATTTTAAATTCATTTTTCAGACAATGTTTTTCCTTAAACTTTTGAAAAAGATGCAATGTAGTCTCTAAAATTAACAAAGATTGATTTTCACTATTAGTTGATTAAAAAATGATAAAAAAATAATCTTAGAATTACAAAAAAAAAATTAAAAATTTTTTTTGGTCATTTTCTATAATTTTTGAGCCATTTTCTATCATTTTTTTATTAATTTATATTTAGTTACAGAGCTAGCAAGTCTATTAGAAAGTAAAATTAACAATTTTGTCATGAGTTTTCAATTGGATGAGATCAATCGAGTGGTATCCATTGGAGATGGTATTGCATGTGTTTATGGATTGAATAAGATTCAAGCTAGGGAAATGGTTGAATTTGTCAGCAGCATCAAAGGAATAGTCTTAAATCTCTAGAGTGAGAATGTGAGAACAATTATAAGCTTAGGATCTATATTGTAACACTTTCAAAAGTTGAGGAGAAATATTACATAAAAACTTAGTTTTGAGTTTCAAACGATTCTGATAAGGATCAAATTGTTATTTAACACAAAAAATTATTGTAAGTTTTTACCATAAATAAGTTGATGGTTTTCTTTTCAACCCTCTTGTTAATATGACACCCAGAAAAGAAAACATCTAATCAAATTAGCAAAATAGAATTGTGAGTGGGTATTTCCACCAAAAACAATAAAAACAGAGAGGAAATAAATAGTAAATATTACATTAAATTTTATAAAAGTTGAGCATTAATCAAGCATTTTACAAATAGTAACAAAGGATGTCATACTTTGCCATGCCGAGCATGGCCAAATTAGAGACTCGAGTCAACAGGATAGCACGTGACCATATCACGTGGCTTGGTTAACATGAAGACACATAATAATATAGGCAACAATAATAGTAATAATAGTGCTGGTGGCATGCATTATTGAAGACATAAGCTACACTAACAAACAAGATTATTGGAGCCAAACTGTGTCATTCTCTATAGAGGACCAGTTAAATTCGGGTACACACACGTGGCAAAATGTCTTGTGTCTTGTGTTTGTTTGTACTTTCTACCCAACTTCAAAGATGAACCGTTTTGTATTTTAATTCGATGTCAACATTTTTAGGTGTTTGTTGGAGGTTGTACCAATAACCACGGGAAAATGAGAGGCATGGAAATAAAATTAAAAATTCATGAACTTCAAATTTTTTTTTTATATTGGTTTTATGTCCAAAATTTTAGGTGAAAGTTGTGCTCGTACAAGAGTTGGTGGCCAGTTATGTTATATAGAGTTAAATGACAATTTAACTTTTAAATTATATGTGTAGAAGTGTTTGAGGTTATAAATTTATTTTTTTTGAACTTTTTTTAACTTTTAAAAATAATATAATGGAGCTCCATTATTAATAAAAGCTAATTTTAACTGTTGATTAATTAAAAAATAATAGAAAAGGATCAAAAAATTACAAAAAATGATCAAGAAAATTTTCTTGATTTTTTTTATAATTTTTAGGCCCTTATTTGTACTTTTTGAATCCTTTTCTATAATTTTTTTAGTTTTTTTTTGTAATTTTTTGATTAATTAACGGTTAAAATTAATTTATGCTAGCGATAAAAATTACATTGTACTATTTTTAAAAGTTGAAAAAAAATAATAAAAAAAATAATTTTAAATTTTAAATGCACCTATACCTATAATCTAAGGGTCAAGTTGCCTTTTAACCCTATGATCTATGATGCACATGACACCTTGTTATGTATTTTATGTTTTATTTTAATTAATTGATATTGATAATTCATGATAAATGGTTCTAAAAATTTCAAATTTAAAAATATATAATTTTATTTTGAAATCTTTCTCCATAATTTTATTGTATTATTAAAATTTGCAATCTTATGAACCCTTTACTGTGATATATACACACATTAATTTAAAATTCCCAATTATGATTTTCATTCTGTCCTAATTTGCAAAAATCAGAGTGACAATGAGAAACTGAATTTGTTAACACTAATAGCACTTTTTTTTAAAAAAAAAAAGATTAAATACTACTTCTAAATCCCATTTTTAACCCAAAAAATTATGTTGAGGATTGAGAAGAATAAAAGTAATTTAATATAAAAAATTAAAATTAAATACTTCTTAGGCTAATTGACAAAAAAATAATTTAAACCGAAGTTAGAAAATGTTCAAGTAATTTTTTTTTTCTTTCCTTCTTTAATGATATCATAATTCATAAGTCCCCAGGGCACGAAACTACCAATTTCGGCTTCTTCGTGATCCTTGCTTTAGTAGTTCATTAATCTATGCATTTCATACTGTTAGCAGTTCAATAATTTAATTTGCAGGAATTTGAAAGACCTTTGTCTCCAAGGAACAATAGCTCTTGAAATTGCTAAGCTGACTCACATCAAAGCCATGTAAGCATAATCCATCATCATCATTGGGAGAATGACACTTAAGTCCTAAATTCAAGAAAACGAGTTACAAATTAAGATGGTGAAATTTAAAATTTGGAAGACAAAATCACAAAATATCAAATTTGAGAGACAAATTTATAATTTTATCGTTTTGAATTTGCAACTCGCTTTTCCAATTTTAATAGAGAACACAAATCTTAATTATTAAGATTGAAAAGTAATAAATCATTATTTGAACACTTATAAAAATTTGCATCTTTGTTTCACAAATGTGTAATTTTGTATTGTTAAATTTGCAATTCACTTTCTCAATTTAAAAATTGAGAGCATATTGCATCATATGAAAATATCAGTTAAAAATTCAAAAGACTTACTATTTTATATTTTAAAATTTGTTCAGACTTTACTTGAACAAACTAATCACATTGGGATTTAAGTGTCATTCCTGGTACTTTTATAGAAAGTTGTATTATTCATAAGTCATACACAATCATCCATCGATTCAGTATGTCAATGCCATTAATAAATAATCTTTGTCAGAGAGATAAAGTTTCTTCAAATTTTTGCAAACTCTGCATATTTTGCAGAATTCTACGCAACAATTCTTTCTTTGGAGAAATACCTAAGGAGATTATACAGTTAAAGGAGCTTGAAGTACTTGACTTGGGATATAACAACTTTAGTGGATCATTTCCATTTGAGACCAATCTATCCTTGACTACCATGTAAGTGAAAGCAAATCCTCAATTTCATCAAACCAAAACCCTTCTTATTTTCTTGTTCTTTTTTTCAGTTTCAATTCAATAGCTTATATAATCACACTTCCATTGCAGTTTGCTGGACAACAATGATTATCTGGCTAACTTGACTCCAGACATAGTTAAATCCAACATGATTTCTGAAACTCACTCAAACCAAGACCTGTCAAAAACATCATGTGTAAGCAGATCTAGTTTGAGGTAAGACATCCAATCCATTCTAACATGAGCTTTTTGTGAGATTTCAAGTAAATTATCAAGTCCATCCCTGTCAAAATTTGAATTTGATAAAAAAAAAAAATTCTGGCTTGGATCCTCTACATTCACAAAAATGAAGGTACATTAAGAGAAAGGTGAGAGAGGAAAAAATAAGAATAATACACTTTGTACATTATCTTTTGTGAATGAAGAGGATCCAAATTCAAAATCATCATGTTATTGCTTGATCAGGTTGTTTTTTAATGCTTGATGTGATGTCTTTTCATCTTAGGTACAAGAGGCAACTTCTTCAAATATCAAATTCTCCCACTTCGCTACCACCAGATTCTCAGGTTTTCTCACCATCTCCATCAATTCCACCATTTGAAGCTCCCTCAAGCTCTCCATCTGCATCAGCTCCCATATCATTTCCACCATTTTCATCACCGTCTCCCTCCATTTTTCACCCGCCTGCACCTTCATCTTCACCTTCACCTTCACCGGTGCCTTCACCTTCCCCTATAATAGAACAAAGTCCAGAAATTTCACCAGCAAATCCACCTTTTGATATATCCAATCCACCAGAGTCCAATGGAGTTCCAGCACCTTCTCCTGATTTATTTTCAAACCAAGGGAATTCTAAGGCAAAGCATCGTTCTGTGATAATTTGGTCTACAATAGGTGGTTTCTCCTTATTGGTTTTGGTGTCAGCAATTGCTTTTGCTTGCTTCTGTAATACCAAGGTTGTAACTGTAAAACCTTGGCCCATAAGCTTGAGTGGGCAGCTTCAGAAAGCTTTTGTAACAGGTAATTAGTTCTCTCTACAACTCAACCGCCCTGCTTCATATTTATTTTATCTGCCTCGTGAATAAATATTCAACATGTCCTCTCAAGATTTTTTTTTTTTTAGTATAGACATAAAACTGATCATATCCTTTCAAGATGATAGGATGAAGAGACGCTAAGGATAAACTATTTGTGAGCCTATGGCTAGTTTTTTATTTACAATGATTTAGGGTATGCTTGCTTATTAAGCCATATGTGATGTAGGTGTGCCAAGTCTCAAACGAGCAGAACTTGAATCAGCATGTGAAGATTTCAGCAACATTATTGGATCTCTTCCTGAGGGTACTATTTATAAGGGAACATTATCCAGTGGAATTGAGATAGCAGTTGTATCCACTTCAATAATCTCACCTCAAAACTTTTCAAAACACATGGAAGCTCAATTTAAAAAGAAGGTAGCAAGGCAAAAAAAAAAGAAAAAAAAAAAAGCTTTGTATTACATTTATCTATTGGGTTTAGATAACCGCTTTTCATCTTCCCAATTTCAGTTAGAAACATTATCCAGACTTAACCACAAGAACTTTGTGAATCTGATTGGATTCTGTGAGGAGAAGCAGCCCTTCACAAGAATGATGGTTTTCGAGTATGCTCCAAATGGAACTCTCTATGAACATCTACACAGTGAGTAACTTAATGTTCAAATTATAATTGTTAGAAACTTGATATGATGGTTAATTGTATTTAAAGTATAAGAAAATTTTAGCCAGGCCTGATCTACAAATTGGTAAGCCAAGAAAGTAATTCTTAGGCTTTCATCAGTAAACTTAAATTCCTTGGTTGGTTTGTTAATATCTGCATTTTGTACTGGAAAATAGAGATAAGAGTAAAAACTATTCATGTATCTTGTGCAGTTAGAGAAGCAGAGCAACTTGACTGGGCAATGAGAGTGAGAATAGCAATGGGAATAGCTTACTGTCTGGAGTATATGCATCAGCTAACACCGCCCATTGCTCACACAAACCTAAAATCTTCATCTATATGCCTAACTGAAGATTATGCTGCTAAAATATCAGATCTTAGTTTTTGGAGTGACATTGTTACTTCCATTAAAAAGGGTTCTTCTGAAGCCACAAGGCTCTTGGAAACACCATTAGCATATACAAAGGGAAATGTTTACAGCTTTGGATTAATACTGTTTGAACTGATAACAGGTAAAGTTCCCTATACTGAGGAAGATGGAATTCTTTCAGATTGGGCTGCTGAATATATAAGATGGGGGAAGAAGCCCCTTATTGATGTGGTGGACCCCACTCTGACCACTTTAAAAGAAGAAGAGATAGAGAAGTGGTTCCAAGTGATGATAGAATGTGCACATTCAGACCCAGATAAAAGGCCAACTATGAGAGAGGTTACTGCTAAGTTGAAGGAAATTACGGCAATGGAGCCGGATGAAGCCATACCAAAATTATCTCCTCTTTGGTGGGCAGAGCTAGAAATCAAGTCTGGGGATTTAAGTTGAGACTTAATAGCTCTAATCTGAGCATTTACTGAAGAATTCATGTTTGATGCCATTTTTTCATTCATCTTAAGTCTGTTTTAGATTCTTCTAAGGAAGCTAGCAAGACTAATGTGGACAGAAGAGACTACTTGCATTTGTGTGGAATTGACTTTGTAAATACTTGAGATTTTTACGTATTTGTTTATTACCTTGTTCCTATCACTTGTTTTGTCAAAGTACCATTTTTTCCTCCTCTTTTACAGCAAAGATTCAGCGTGCACTGCTTGAGCAGCTAATAAATAATGTCGTGAGTACAATGGACCAAGAAAAATGATAAACTGACTTGAAGATCTTGTAATGAATGGAATCTTTAACTCACAATCATTTGGAGATGCAGTACTCTTCCCTTTTCACTGGTGCTTGATGGATATATCCTGAATGAAACACAGGAACACATAAATTCTATTCTCTTTGGCAAAAATTTAGGCATAAGCTACCAAAATAAAGTAAAATTTATGGGGAATAAGATTGGAATCTACTTATAAATATGTCACTGTACAAGGGGAGTAATAGGTGAGCCATCGCCCACAAGAATACATATCACTGGAGTTTCCACTAAGGAAATCTAACTTTAACGTGAATCATCCTCCTATTTGATAAGGTAAAAAGCACAAGTTCATCTCTTTCACCTATCCGTTTCTCATGTCATCATCGTATTTTTTGCTATCCACAACAAATATTCTCCCCTTCTTTCCTAATAAAGGACAGTTTTCAGCTGAATATTATGAGATTTGAGGGGAAAATTCAGCATTTTGAACGTCCAATGTCCCTGCAATTTTGTACACATGGCAGCTCAACATCTCAAGACTTCTGACGCTAATGGTTTGACTGTTTGTGTTGAGATAATTCTAGCTCGACTTTTGTGTCCTCTGATACAGATTAAGCGTGTCAGTATGATTCGGATCTAAGCAAAGAGCTGCTTGACAATCTTGAAGAGCCAATGCTAGATCGCCCATCGACTCATAAAATGCTGCTCTCAGATGAAGCACTTGCAGATCAGGCTTGAAGTTTATGGCCTTGGATAGTTCCTCCACAGCTTCAGTTTCTTTTTGCTCATCCATCAGAACTGGTCATAAAGGACATGAAATTGCATATAAGTACAATACCTGTTGTGAAAGGTGATGCGTGTGTCTTGCTGGATTGAACATAAAATAGAGTTTTGAAGCACAGAGTATATGTAAGAAGATCATTCATTCCTTTATTTCTTAATTATCATTTTACAGCAACATTTGCACATGTATTCTGATCTTGTATAATAGGTAAGGAGAATAAAAGTTCTTACTATTGCATTTACTAGTTTATTTCTCTTTTGCATGGTATATGCATCCAGTGAACTACTTAATGAACTACTAACTAGAACAAAATTGCCCAAAGAGTTAATCAATCGAAATATAATAAAGGAAATGATGATACTTAGTGGCAGAAAAAGCTGTTGCCAAGTAACATGGTTTTCCAACTTGCTCTTCTTTGGTTTAAGTTGTTTAAATGGCATAAGCAAGTAAATAAATTTTAGTTGCATTGACTACTTTACATTGAGATATTCAAGCACAAAATGACAAAACAGAGGAAAGGCGTGCATACAGCTATAAATTTCATTATCACTTTAGGAAATTCCTTACTTAGTGTGCAAAAACTTTCTTTCATTATAAATATTTTCTTCAAGGAAACTTGAACCCTCACTGTATATCATCAATATTTAATGCATGTTATAATTTTCCACTGGAAATTTAGCGTTGTGAAAAATCTCAATCCATGTTAAACATGAGGGAAGCAGCATGAGTGCGCATGATTGTGACAGTTTTGTGCTCAGCATAGTAACCAAACAACTGAGGCAACCTGGGCTACCAATGCATTTGAAAAATGAGATCATCTGTTTTGATAAATGAGAAAAAATTGCATACTTCAAGGAGAAAAAAAGAGCATCATGGCATTATCTGATGTAATTATCCCCATTCTGACTCCAATTCAAAGTAAATGGTAGATGAAAATAGAATGAAGGCAAAAAGCACCTGCAGCCCTGTATCTGTATGGATAAGTCCTTAAAGGATCTAGCTGCGTCGCCACATCAAGATCAGACTTTGCCATCTCACGGTCAGAGTATTCTGATCGTTTCTCATATGCCGATGCATTGTTCACTGCCTTCTCAATTAGCTTAGTCATTTCATCATAAGCAGATTTACGTTGATTTTTCTGATGATAAATACGCGCCAGACCTTGATGAGCTCTTGTGTGTCTAATTGCAAGTGCATTTGTGTAGCATTCTTTTGCAAGATCAAGCTTGCCACAATCAACATAAATACTACCCAGATTATTCAATGCCTGCATAATATTGCAGCACTCAATTAGATATATTAGAACACATTTGATTAGCAATAAAAATAGTAGAAGCTAGCAAGCCAGAGATTACTAACTTGTCCTTTGCGAAGTCCATCTGAGGGACATTTAAGAGCTTCTTCTAGAAGTTGGATTACGTTTGAAGAAGATACAGAGTCAGGATTAGCATCTGCTAACACATATGCTTTAAGAAAATAGGCTTCAAATGATCTTTGAATTGAAATGGACCTCTCAGCCTGAGCCAGAGCTTCTTCTCGATAGCCAGTATCATAGAGAATCCATCCTTCATAGATTAGCTTTTCTTGTATGGAACTAGAATGATTTCTAGCCAACCTAAGACTACGCATTGCAGCCTTTTGACAGTTTAACCTTAAAAATTCAAAGAGACAAGAAATTCCCATCCACATTGCAATCAGTAACTTATTCAATTTAAATGCAGACAATATCTCCATTCTACAGAGGTATGAACAAGCAGTCAAGCATTCAGATGAATAAAGCATCTATATACAAGCAACAATGATACTAGCAGTAGTAAATGTGACAAACCAGTCAGACACTCAAACACAAAGCTTAAGGGTGTTTTTGAATTGACGAAATAGGAAGTCAAGAGAAGTTTTCATTTTAGTTTGAAAGAAACATTTCATTTGTTTCCATTCTCCTTAATTCAAACATGCTCAAAAGGTCCAGTACAGGCAATAACTCAAGTCAACATCAATTTATAGTTCAAAAAAGATAACTGTAGGATGGGTTTTCAAATACTCACCTTAAAAGGAGTAGAGACTGACGAAACTCTAGAAGGCTCTTTCTGGGTTCATTTTCCAGCATCTGATGTATAATAGCCAGAGAACCGATATCATCAACAGAGGACCATTGTTCATATAGTTGCATCCAGCAGTCAGCAAGATTCTTTGGCTGAAACTTATGGGTGAGAAGCATAAGCAAGTATTCCCCTTTGATCTTCCCATGTGATGTTATGTGATTTGGTTCTAAAGTTAACAATGCCCGAATATCTCTCACAGCACTTTTATAATCCTCAATCGAAATAAACAACCAGGACCTCAATTCAAGGCAATCAGGGGTGAGCTTGAATCCAATAATTCTGTCTAGTTCCAAAATTCCTGCCTTCGTCTGCTTCTCCTCTACCTTTGCAAGAGCTCTGTATTTATAAGGAAATGGAAGTGAAGGATCCAACTCAGTTGCAAAATCCAAATCAAAACTCTTTTCCTTTCCAATATTATACAAAGCCCGTTCCTGATACATCCACCCAGCTGGTTTATACTCAAATATGATAGAACTAATCAACTTATATGCTGAGTATGGTTGACCTTGCTTGTTCTTAGCTCTAGCCACACCAGCCATAGAGTAAACATGACCTGCCTCAGCCGCTGCTTCGAAATAATGCTGAGCTTCCTTATATTCTTTCCTTTCAAGCAACACACAACCCAACTGATGAAATGCAAGGGACTTCTGCCATTTTTCTACAGCACATTCTCCCAATCTTTCTAGTAACACCACTGTTGCTTTAGATGCCATGCTTTCTTCCATAGCTACTTGGCTAAGGAAATAATACAACAAGAAAGAAGCATACCCTACTGTGGCCAAACTTTCCTTAGCCTCAGAGCTGCAAAAGATTTTGATCACTCTAGAATTGTACAAAGAATTTGGCAATTCTCTAAGTAATACCTGTATACATGACCCTACAAGAAGGGACGCTCTCTCTTCCAAACCATAGTGAATGAGTATCAATGCATCTTCAAGATTGCTAATACTTGAGGCCAAATGAGCATCACAATCAGACTTCATTTCCTCACAACAAAACCTACTAGAAAAAGATAAAAGCTCCAGAACAGTCTCGACACAGAAAAGGTCCAATCTTTTAGTTCTACTGTAAATTTCCACTGCTCTCATCGCCTCTGGACATATCCCATTTCGAGAAAATTCAATCTTTCTCATTTGAGACTCTGCAAAACCTCCATACAGCATAGCCTTGAATGGTTCTGATAAAGCTGCGATTTTGTAACGAACACAGTTAATTTCCTCGTGGTCAATACAGAACGAGACATCACTTTCCTTGTCTGGTAAACTCATGCTTTCTTCTGAAATGTTAGTAATGTCCTGATTTGGCTGATGGGGACACTGGCAACGACTAGCAACCGAACAGGCACTATACCCAGATATCATATTGGCCTTTGGGCATTCAAGAATGTACCCATTACAGTCCATTGAAGAGACACCAACGAATTCGTCCTCCCTCCTTTCGAACCTTAGCCATGCCGAAAGAACAATCTTTGTCGGAATATCGTCGGCGTCCTGTCGGGCAGTTCGGAGACATCGACGAAGCAGCTTCTGGTCACCGAGGCCACGAAGAAGCGAGTACTGTTCGATGCAGAGCAATGGTTTCTCAGACTGTGGGCAATTTTCTAGGCGGACATAAAGGTCTGCCAAAGTCTCGACAAGATTGATGGGTTTAAGGTAAGGGTCAATGTGGGGTTCGAGAGAGTCGGATGATGGTAGTGGAAAAGGAAGATTCTTATCAATTTCTGAGATTGAGTTGATTCTGGATTTGGGTTTTGATCCAAACGATTGGATTCGGTATCTACTTCGCTTGGAGGCGTCATTGGTGACAGTGGCGTCTGAAGAATTGAGGGCATGAACTTGATTGCTCTTGAACCGTTCATTGAGCTTCAAGCCACGCATCTTCTTCTCTTCTTCAGCGAATATACACTCTGTTTTCAAACCCCTTCTGATAAAGAAGATAGCTCAGAACGCCCATAAACAGAAGAAGCTGTGAAGAACACAGAAAGCAGAAAGAAAGACAAAGAAGAATGACAATTACAGTTCACTGTTTTCCATAAAAAAGCGAAGATAGTGGGGGTGATTCTGATGCAAATCAATGGCCTAAACTAGCATTTTTTTTTTTCCCTTTAGCTATAAAGGAGTGATAATCTCAGGCTTTATATCTGTGTTTGAGTGGAAAAGAGATTGGCGTGAGTCTGAACTTTATACAAGAAAGGCTAAACCAACAATTTGCAGGACAACGACTCCACATAATTGTTCTTTCACACAGAAAGAGAGAAGAGAGAGGACAGCACACGTAATTCCTCACGATGATGGATGGAACCACTCCAATGAATGAATGGGAGGGACGACAGAGCATGATGATTTTGGTCAACTAGCTCCATTATCAGATTCTTCTTTTTGTTTATTCTTTTTCAGTTTTTCTTAATTAATTTTTCATCCTTATATTTTAACTTAATTATAATTTAATTTTTAAATTTAATTCATTATAATTTATTTTTTATAATTTTAAGTTGATTGCAATTTATTTTTTAAACTTCTACTTTTATAATTCAATTTTTATAATTTAAATTATTTAAAATATGTATCTTTATATCATATAAATAAAATTATAAATATTAAAATTATGTTAAATTTTAAGATTAATATTTTAAATTATTAAATTTTTTTAATTGTTATAAAAATTAAAAATATTAAAATTCAAAACAGTTTTAATTTTTAAAATTTTATTTTTTAAAATATAAATATTAATATTTTAGATGATTAAAATTATAAAGATTGAATTGTAAAAGTCAAAATTTAAATATTAAATTATAATTAAATTAAAATTATAAAAATTAAATTACAATGAATCAAAATTTGGATATTGAATTATAATTAAAAAATTAAAATTAAAATTAAACAATTATTTTTTTTATTGTTTTGGTTTTGGGAAGATGAAGGATTTTAATTATGGGTTAATTAAAGCCGAAAAATTTGGAATAAGACGGAATTGCATACCAAGCAAAGGTGCATTGGGTGGAGTAAGTTGAGAATTGAGATAACCAATTCTAATTATTTTATGCTAAGCGGTCTTATCAACACCGAACGGTTCCACCCCCCCCCCCCCCAAAAAAAAAAAACCACCAAACGGAGGAGTCAATTCCCTTTTTTGTTTTTTTTAAGGGGTCACTTTAGAAAATGCTAGAATTTAAATTTAATGCACATTATTGGGGTCAAAAGAAAAAAAAATGCATATTTGAATGCAAATTCAGATTTATCCCTGATTAATTAATCGATACGTTAACTCGTACCAAATTTGTGGCGTTGTATTGCATGCAATAAATACGATAATAGATTCCTTCCACACTTCATATGAATTTTTCGATCATATTCATAAATTACAAAATAATAACATTTCTTGTAATTTTGATTATATTTCTGAGGTGAATGTTTAACCTTGAGTGAATTTTGAAGACAACAAGGTTGGTGGTCATTAAGATGGTGCGGGTAAAAGGAGGTGGAGAAAACTATTTAATGTTGTAATTATTGGCAACTGGTTATAAACTGTAATTAATTATTTATAATATATTCAAATACTCTCATTTTTAAAATAATTTAAAATATAAAAATTATAACAAATTATATTATTTATAAGATGTAATGGGTAAGAGTTATATATTTAACCTTATATATTTAATATACTTATATCCAATTAAATCATGACAAGTGAATCTTAATATATTAATAAAATTAATAACAAGAATTTATTATAAAATAAATAATCCATACAAGATTCATATGTTTTTATTTAATTAAAAACAAGCATGTTAAGTATATAAGTTTGGAAAAATTTCAGTCAGGAACCCTTGACTGAACTTAATAAAAAGAAAGTCCCAAAATTTTTGAAATTTTACTGAATGATCCATACGAAATTTCTATTAAATTTATAATAAAAATGACAAAATTGCCCTTATTTAAATGAACAACATGAATGATTGTTCTCTCTTTTACTACATGTTGTTTATTATTCATTTACTTACGGAATATTATTCGTTTCCTTCCTTTACTTATTTATAGGCTTACTTTTATTTGATTTCATTCTACCAACCATAAAAAAGTGAAGTAAGGAAATGATCAATATTTTGTAAGTAAATAAACAATATATACTATGAAAATAAACAAGTCATCTTATGATGAAACCAATATAGAATAAAATCAAGTAAAACTAGGCCTATAAATAAGTGAAGTAAGGAAATGAATAATATCTCATAAGTAAATTAACAATATACAATATAGGAATGAACAAATCGTTTATGTTGTTTATTTAAATTAGGGTAATTTTGTCATTTCGATCACAATTTCAAGGGAAATTTCATACGGGTCCTTCTGTGAAGTTTTAAAAATTCTGGGTCTTTTCTTTTATTAAGTTCGGTCAAGGGTCTCTGGCTGAAATTTTCCCTATAAGTTTTCTCCTTCATTCTATATAGTTTAAAACTTACTTAAATTGTTTTTTTTTGTTAATAAAAATTGATCTAATTGATAAATATTTTGCTCATGATTTACAAGGTTGTAGGTAGTGGGCTATTTGTAAATATGTAAGCGTTATTTAAGTTTGAAGGTATGCCTTAGCTTGATGAGTCCTCGATATTCAAATCACTTAATTTTTTTTTTTGGATAAAAAGCTGCTATTATGTTTTTTTAGAGTAAATAATGATCAAATTGTGTTTAAGTTGCAACTACAAACTTATGAATGGAATAGTATAATTAGTTGAGTAAATGTTAATTAGAAGGAAAAGGTGTTCCTCCTTAGTTATCTTAACCCCTCCCCATTATTATATTAAAAAATAGAGAAAACGAAATTAAAAATTATTATATTAAAAAATAGAGAAAAAAGAAGAAAAAAAAGAGATTGATTTAGACATCCAACCAATATGCCAAAATCACTTTTGTATATGGTGGTGATCACCATTTCAAGAAAAGTAAGTCATGATTATATCCAAAAAAAAAAAAAGTGAGTCACGATGGCTTTGTTTGGAGATAAAGGGAGTGGATTTCAAATTTCCATAGCTCTCTAATCTTCTTGATTGGATGTAATGTTAATGTAATACTTCTCTCTCTCTGTTTGTTTTTTTGTCCTTTTCTTATTTATTATAACAGGATTTGATGAAAAAATTACAATCATATAAACTTTTTGTGGATATAGGCGTCGCTATATATTTTATTTTATATATAATTTTGATGACTTATTGATATATTCATATTGAAATCGATTGTATCATTAAATCTAAATAAATATCATTTTATCAAAAAATATCACTATCAAATTTATTAATATAATCCTATGACTTGTAAATATGCTGAAAGATCAAAGATACATTGTACATGGCATGGGTTGCGCTTTTTATATTTATGTATTTTATTTTTTAAATTAAATTATTTATATGTTTTCTAAATTAGGTAGACCTACACAAAATCTGAAGAATAACCACATTTTTCTATGACTTGTAGGAAGCGTGAGTTAGTGATTGATTTTAAAATTTATATTTTATATTTAAAATGCTAAAAATATATCAAAACATTCTGTAATACATACACGCATATATAATTACACACACACACACAACACACAATAGGTGTGACTAAAATAATGGCCACAGCATCTCCACAACACGTGAATAAGAGGACAAAATGCTTCACCACATCTTCTTCAAAGTGACATAGAAAGGAATGGAATTCTTTGACAAAAAGGTTCGACGCAAATAGTAATAGACGTATAAAAAATCAATATCAATAATCATCATATATCATTTTTCAGTCTTTAATATAAGATAAATTTTAAAATTTTTTGTTCTTAATATAAAGAAAAGTTAAAATAGTTTATATTTTTTCTAACTTTATCTCTTATTTATTTATTATTGTTTGAATTTTTATATAAAAATTTATTATAATTATTAATGTAAAGAAGGAAAAGTTTAAAAATTAGATCCTTTTTTTAATATTTATATACATATAACTATTATTTTTTAATAAGCACAAAATTAATTTAATTTAATTATATATATTAAAGACAAAGTATAACTAAATCATATTGAAGGGATAGATAGTACATTAGGAAGAGAACCTTACGTCTCATCTTCTTAACCCATTTTTTTTTTTTACTGATTAATTTCCACATCAACTTAGAATTTTTGTAAATCATATAATGACACTTGTCATCCAAAGAGATTCCATCAATAATAATTGGATCTATGTAATCATGAAACATCATTGTAGCATGACAAAAAACAGTATATATATGTGTGTTCGTATATGCATCTGATACATCACAGATGTGTTTCTTTTAGAAAATAGAGGTTTATATGATTCTTTTTGAAAATATTATATATGTAGAAATATTAAAAGTTGATCTTATTTCAAACTTATCTTTTTATTTTTATTAATTAGTAAAACTGATTTAATTTTTTTCAGATTCTTGTCCACACTACATTGGTGAATAGGAACATTTGAAATTTTTTTCTATTTTTAAATTAATTAAACTAAGTCACATGCACTATAATGATCTTCGCCATTAACCTTTAAATAACTCTACTAACCAACACCTTTAAATGAAAGGATCAACCATGTCTTTGATGTTTAAAACATTTATTAAATGAAAAATAGAATAATTGGGATCCTAAAGAAATGTTAAAGATTAAATAAAATGTCTTTCTAAAGTCAAAGTACTTAAAATTATGTGGAAACATGAAAATATCAAATATAACATCAAGAAAGGAACAAAAAGGGCAAAACTATCAACTTGGAGGATTGGACTAGCTCGTCGTGGCTAAGAGTCCCTTTGCAACATCCTCAAATTTTAAAATTTAAATTTTGAAGTATTAACAAGGTTAAAAATGGTATAGATTTGGGTGATTATCAAATTAATGGTGTTTTCAAATTATTGATGAAGTTATTGGACCTTTGAACAGTTTTTGAAATTGGTTAGGATGGAGGTTGGGCCAATCAAGCCAAAATACAAGGCAACATTTGATTGGGCCCTGCAATGCCATCCGCTGTGGTGGACGCATTATGAACCATGACGGGTATGCAAAAATATTGATTTATCTAACGTGTTCGGGCATCAAATAGAGGGAAAAGAGAAAGAAAACAAGAAGAGAAACAGAGAGAGATCATTCATCTGCTAGGGCTACATCTTTTGGCCACTTTGGAAGCAATTTACACTAGATTAATACTTAGGTAAGTTTCCTATTCACTCTCCTTCCTCTCTATCCAAATTTGGGAAGTTTTAGGTATGGTTGGATGTTGATTTTGTCTTCCATTAGGTTTTTAATCAAATCCATTGTGTTCTTTGGATTTA